AAATAAATAAATCATTAGCCTATAAAGAAATCTTTAAAATTAAAATATAAAAAAGAAATACTCTGATAGAAAATGGGCAGCAGAGAAAAAGGCAATCACACAAGTATAACATGACCAATGAGGGCCAATGGGTATGGGGAGCTGGGGTGCAAGCAAGGCCCCATCTTGGTTTCATCCCTGACACTACAATGTGAGCTTGGAGGAACTTACTGCTAAACTGAGTGTTGAAATCAGCTGGGCTGGTTGGCTAAGTATCACTGGAAATGGCCCGCCAGCACCTTGGGTGACTCCCCCTGAAAAACGGACAAAGTGCTTTCTCAAAGTTCACTGAAGTGCATGGGCAGGAAGTTCAGCATGGACAAGGGTTAATAATACACATACACTTATTAAAATGTAAAAAAGAGCCAGGGAATGGCCTTCAAAGCATGTGGGGGACCTGGGTTTGGTTCCTGGCACCCCATTTGGTCCCCCAAGCTCCACCAGGAGTAAGCCCTCAGCTTTAGGTGTGGCAAAACAAAAACAAACCCCTGCAGTTTCTTTTAAAACAGGGAGCAATGTTATTTTCATTTTTTATATATTTAAATATCTTCTATGCATGGCACACGCAGACTAAAGGGCTTGAATCCCTGCTCTTGAGGCAGGCCTGTGCCCTTCTTAGATGTGCCTTAGACAAAGCTGCGCTACTTTCATGGTACCCAGCAGTGCTGGGGTCAGGGATACCATTCAGTGCTGGGGACGGAACTCCAGCCTTCTGCATGAGAAGCACATGTTCCAGTCCTTGGAGCTATCTCCCTGGCCCACCTTCATTGCTTTTTAAAAGTCCTCTGGTGGCAACACAGAAATTGGGCAGCTTTAAAAATATGAATATATAAAAATGTATATATGTATATTTACAACAGAAAATGTGTATGCAAAAAATACAAATAAATACAAAAAAGAAAACAGCTTCTAAAGCAAAGGCATAGCCGTCCAGAAACATTTTACACTTTCTACTTTGATAAGTATTTTAGCCCTAAAATGAAATTGGCTGCTAACTCCTTCCTGGTATCGAAAGACACTTCTTGGGGCTGGAGTGATAGCATAGCAGGTAGGGCATTTGCCTTGCATGCAGTGGACCCGGATTCGATTCCCAGTATCCCATATGGTCCCCTGAGGACCGCCAGGAGTAATTCCTGAGTGCATGAGCCAGGAATAACCCAGTGCATTGCCAGGTGTGACCCAAAAAGAAAAAAAAAAGACATTTCTTGCCTTACTAGCTAGGTGTGTTTGAGCATCACAAAATACGGTGCAATCCCTGGCAAGCACAGATAAGAAAATGTGTGTTCTAGTCAAGAAGCGGGAGCTCTGGCTAAGCACAAATATGAGTACCACAGTGGGAGTGCGAGCACCACCAACTCTGTGTACCTCAACTAAGAGTTTGACCACCCAAAAAGCACAGGAGTAAGCACAATGCAAACCTTGGAGAGCACTGAGGTAAAGTGTACAGAAACTATTACCTGATTGTGACCTGCAGTGGATACCACAGCTAAAAATGTACAAGCAACACAGTGTGTCCAATGCCTGGTCAGCACATCAAAAACAAGAAAGTGGCAGAGGCAGGAGAAGAAATAAAATACATAAAAGCTATAATAAATATTGCCAAGTTATTCTATAAGGAATTACACCTGGCGGTGCTCAGGGGGCCATATGGGATGCTGGGAATAGAACTTGGGTCAGCTGCGTGCAAGGCAAATGCCCTGCCCGCTGTGCTATCGCTCCAGCCCCCTATTTTTTTTTTATACTAACAGGAGTATTTTTTTCTTGCAATGATGGGGTACTCAAGGCTTCACACATGCAAGCATGTGAGAAAATTCTATTTATTCACAAACAAACTAAAGGAAAACTCTGGGGGATTAAAAATAGAAAAATAGATTTCTGTAATCCTCATAATTTGTGGATTCTCTACTTGGTAATTCACCAAACTTGCTAACATTTATTTCTAAATTCAAAATCTATACTGGTGGTGCTTTCTGAGACATTCACAGACATGTATGAAGTAGCAAAAAAAGTTTGGTCGTGCCTCAAGCACTTTCCAGGGAAGACAGACCAACACTGCCTCCGGTTTCTGCTCTCAGGGACAAGAAAAGGACGCAGACAGTAGGGGGCAGTGCAGGGTAGCACAAGAGGCTCTGGGGTCAGCAGGACAGGGTTTGAATACCAGGCCAGGCCAAGGGTTAGCCTCAAGCCAAGTCATTAAAAAACTTCTGAGCCACATTTTCTTTCTCTCTCTCTCTTTTAAATAAAGAAAACAAAATCTCTTAAAAATAAATTGTATCTGGGATTAATGATTATAATCTGTGTGAAACGTGCACTTATTTTCAGTGCAAGAAAACAGTTCTGTTAGGAGATTTAATGTTTGAGATAACTTAATAGACCATTCCTACTGTGCCTAAGAAGAAACTATCATTATATGTAATAAAATCATAGAAAAGAGAGGTTACCAGAGAGAACTGGGAGGGAGGGAGGGAGGGAAGGAGAGAGGAAGGGAGAAACGAAGAAAGAGGTCTTTTTTTTTGGTGGTAGGACAGTCCTGGAAATATGATGGAGGGAATGGTGGCAGTTACTCAAATATTAGAGGTGTGTGTGAAGATAAACTCTTGAAATTCCATAATATTGTAAACAATAATAAAAAAATTTTTAAACATAATGTAAAGATACAGAAAACAATTACCTGAAAGGAGTGGGGGCCAGCGACAAGTTTCAAGGTTTTTTAACTAGGACCTAACCAAGGACATAGGGCTTTGAAGGAGAGAGAACATCGCCTCTGAGAGGTGTGGGAAGCAGATGGGTTTAAAAATGGCACTTTAGAAGGTCTAGAGTAGATGAGACTAGAATGTGGGCTCATAGAGCTCTGGGATCTGCGTACACCCTATATTACAAAACCTTCTGCATTTGATTTCTGGCTTGTAGAACTGCTCTTCCAATAAACTGTGATGTCCTTAAATCACAAGGTCTCTAGCCAGAATCATAGCTATAGTCCTTTAAATGTGCAAACAATTACTAAGTGCTAATACACCTGTAAAAGACTGTACAAAATAACTTTAAGCTTCAGTTTTATACCAATTTAAAACGGTGACCAAGTCACAGACTTGCAATTTGTCTAGGACAATTTTTTCTTTGATAATTGCATGAAGTGGGGATGGGAAGGACAGATTCTTTTTATTGTTCTGGATAAATGGGAATTTGTTAGAAAGCTATGATTAACAGAGCTCAAACATATGGTCAATTTAGAGGCAATAGTGCCTCCTCTAATTAAAGGTTTGCTTTAATTCACTCTGCTTTTCTAAATACGAGATATTTTTAAATTAGTAAAACACAAGAAAACATCGATATATGTTAAAAATACAATTTGGGAAAAATAAGATTTTTTTCACAAAAGTTCACAAAATTCTGGTCAAAACATGATGCTAAATTTACCAGTGACATTTTACCACTAAAAACTAGGAAAAACAATTCCAATTTATGTAATCTCCTGCATTTTAAGCACTTACAGAATTGAAAGGTTTTATTCCCGTTCTTTCCCAAGTCTATACTCATCCACACAGTCATACACAATACAAAAAAGGTGCAATTGCAGTATTTCAATTTCCTCCATCAGGTGCAATTGCAGTACTTCAATTTCCTCCACCCCTTACTGTCCAATATCTAAATTAGTATTTTCACAACTCTTAAAAATCTCAATCAAAACTAGGTGTGGTGAGTTACCTACTCCCACCCTAAAATTCTTAGCATAATTTCATTTAGCTGATGATAGTTTGCTTTGTCTGGAAACATATGGTTAAAACCAACACTACCGAAATCCAAGCTGATTTCAATTCTCTCTAAAAGGGGAATAGAGAATGTTGTTTTAAAACAGATCCAATACCATCCGCAGGCTAGGTGTGATTAAATCCCATTGTGCTGAACAGGTGCTGTATAACACCTATATAACATACATATATTTTTTGACATGTATTTCAAGACAAACTTGGGGGCAGGGGCAAGGCCCTTTGGCTACCAACTCTGCCAATTTATCCAATTCTATCTACTTTACAAAGCAAAAAACGCATTTCAATTTCTTGCTTCCGGCAAACTCTTCTCACCTGCGTTTTCAGAAACAATCACCCACAACAGCGGTATTTGGACAAAGACCCTAAGAGAGGAGATGGTGACTAAATGCCCTTTTAAAGAAAACAAGGGCGGTTTATCATCAACAAAACCGATTAAAGTTCTCAGCTCTTGTAAAGCTCCCGGTCTGTATTCACCTTCCAGCAGCTGGAGGGAGCAAGCGGAAAATATTTGTTTCCCTGGGCGATGAGGACAAAACCTTGGCGAGTGGGATGCACGGGGGTCGGGGAGGGGGGCGTACAGGGACTCACTCGAGGAAGGGAAGAAGTGGCCGGGGGGGAGGGAGGACGAGGACAAGATCCTAGAATCAAATCAGGCACCGGAACGCGAGCGCTGGAGTAAAGCGGCAGGTGGAAGGAGCAGGAGAAACGCACCGAAACGCGGGGGCCCGCGAGTGGGGGAGGGGCGAAAATGCGCCACTCCGGGTCCTCCCCGCTGGCGGACGGGGGGCGCGCACGGCCGGCCCGGGCGCCCCGCGCAGCGGCACCGGGGAAGATGGGGACTCGGCAGCCAGGTATCGTAGCCCGAGTAGCAGAAGGGGGAGAGGGAGGTCTAGGGAAGTTAGGGTGGGGGGATGGATAGCAGGGCAGGGGAGGAACAGAGCGCCTCTGCAGGAAAAAACAGCCATCCAGACCCCACACGAGGGTGACACTAGCGGATGCCCCATCTCGAGAAAGCCCGCGACGTGGGGCTCCCGGGCTCAGCCCTCCCTGCGGCAGCCCGGACAGGCGCGCGCCCCCCCCATCCAAGCCCAGACGCCAAAGAGAAGCGCACGGCGCCCCCGGAGCCAGCGGAGCGGCGCTTCGCTTCGCGCGGGTCCCCTCTTCCCCGGCAGCCGGGACGTCCGAGCCCACCTGGGATAACCACAAATCCTTCTTCCTCCACACCGAACTCCGCCGCTTCTCCGAAAGCCTCCGTCGCGAAGGTCGTCGCCGTTGCCAGAACAGTCGGCCTCTAGTACCAAAGCGTGAGCCACCGCAACAGAGGAGCGCCGCTACCACTCGCCAGGTTACCTCTTACAGCACACTGGAGCCTCACCCCGCCCCCGAACCCATGCCATTGGTTGCTGGGCACCGCCCCGTTCGCTAATTGGGCCGAAGAGGATGCCACTCAGGCACCTACACGGGCACGAAGGGTGCTCATTGGTCTACAGCTCAGACGGTTCCCGCCCGCTCCTTCAGAAGTCCCAGCTTCTGATTGGTATTGATGTCTGTCCTTTTTGCTCTCTCGGCTGGCGCGCCTCTCAGCGGGACGCACGGGTTCTGATTGGCTGAAAGGACGCCACGAAGGTCCTGGATAGGCATAGGGCCAAGGATGCGAGCGGTCCCCACGTGGGGGAGGAGCATAAGGCTCCGTACCTCTTGGGTTTGTTTACACAGGCTTTGGCTCCTGCTTCCTTCCATTGGTGGAGTCAGCAGCCACTCCCTTTGGGCTGCGCTGCTCAGTCTAGCGAGGAGGGGCGCAGACGCGGGACTCAGTGGGATTTCCCCTGCTGTCAATTACCGAGGGAACTGGGCTGAGCACTGCAGGCTAGCGCCTGGTACAGCGCTGCCTTGCGGAAAATTGGCAAGTTGGGGCGCTTGGAGGGCCTGGATAGAAGATGAGGGACTCTTCCACACTTCTAGAAACAAATCTAACTTCTTGGATGATTAGAATAAATAAAATCTATTTTCCCGTTGTATTTAGAGTGTCCCGAATGTTACCTTCAGGAAGTGGGAATTTCTTCGTAAGTCTTTGTAGTCTTTGCTTCTTCCCATCTCCAAATTCAACTCTATACTTGACATGAAGTAAAGGTTTAGTATGTGACTGCATAAATGACATAAATGAAGAGTAGTGCAATGAACACAGACTAAAAAATAATATGTCAGCTATATAATCTAGTTAACATAAGTGAATAATCCACACATTCAATATATATTATTTAGACTATGTTATGATGTTCCAGGTTCTGATTTAAGCTGTGGGTTTATGATATGAATAAGATAATGAAGATAGACCATAGCCCCTATTTTCTAGTGAAGGAAACTAACAGTAGACAAGTAATAAATAATAAAAACATCATGTTGCCTTAAGTGCTAAAAGTGGAAATAAAACAGTTCAGTAATCAATGAAGGATGGTTTTTCAGGAAAAATGCACAAGGAGCATAACCAAAACCTAAATAATTCAGAGAAGGAAGTGGGGCTGCTGAACAAAATTACTGTAGCACTGTCCTGCCGTTGTTCCTGGGTTTGCTCCAGCAGGCAGTAACGTCTCCATTGTGAGACTTGTTACTGTGTTTGGCATCTCGAATACATCATGGATAGCTTGCCAGGCTCTGTCAATGAGATACTCTTGGTAGCTTGCCGGACTCTCCAAGAGGGATGCAGGAATCGAACACAGGTTGGCCGGGTCAGCCACATGCAAGGCAAACACCCTACCCGCTGTGCTATCGCTCCAGACCAGAATAAAATTACTACATGAAACAATTTCAGGATCACTGGTCTCTTCATGAATATCTGACCTATTATTTATTAGGTAAAAATTAAGAATAAACTATTGTGGTATTCAACTTTCCTGAAGGAATTATTACTTCTGTGGGGGGGGGGAGGGGAGCTGGGCTGGGTGCCACACCTGGTTTTGCTCAGGGCTCACTCCTGGTGGTACTGAGGGACAAAATGTAGTGCCAGGTATCAAACCTGGGTCAGCTGGATACAAGGCAAGCGCCTTAATCTACTATCTCCACAGCCACTGAATAAATAATTTAAATGGATTCTACTAGAAAAATTCATCTCTCTGAAAAGAAAATCTTTCTCCAAGATAGCTTCTTTGTACTTCCCACTGCTTCTTTTCATAAATTGGCCTTCAGCTAGACAGCTTTGAAGAAGAGAGTCTTTAGGTCCATCTTGCATCTTGGCATAATAAGAAATAATCTTCAAGGATTAAATTTATTGCTAGAATAGTGATGGGATATGGGAGAGGGTTGCTATTGTTTCCCTTCATTTTACCAACCCCCTTATAATTTCATAATGAGAAAGCCAAAAGACAGTCAAGGATAGACATACTTTCCTGGTAGTGACATGCAAACTAGCTAGGAGTCCAAAGGGATATATATATATATATATATATATATATATATATATATGTGTGTGTGTGTGTATCCCACAAATATATGTAACACAAAACCTTAAAATTTTAGGAGATGATGTCAGTGGAAGAGATTCTCTATTCTTCCCTGTATCTCCTGCTGTTCTTTCAATAAATATTAACCTTGAGACAAATCTCTTCTATTTCATTTAGGTAAAAAGTACACTTCACAGCAAAACTTTTTAAAAATTTATTAACAGGAGCAGAAGAGATTGCTCAAAGGGCAGGAACACATTTGTATGTAGAAGGCCCAGGGTCACGCCCCAGGATGCATGATCCCCCAGTTCTGGGAGAGCCACTTTCAGGCACAGAACCAGAAGTAGCCCCAGCACTATTTGGTGTGTCTTAAATACAAACAAAACAAAACCATACTTCCCTAGCATAAACCATTTTGACCATCTAAAGTAAATAGATCATTAAGTACATTTAGGCATTAAGTACATTTATAATGTTTTGCAACCATTACCACTGCCCATCCCCAGGAAGTTTTTGGTTTTGTTTGTTTGGTTTTGGGCCACACCCAGTGGTGTTCAGTATTTACTCCTGGCTCTGTGGTCAGGGATGGCTGCTAGTGGGCTTGGGAGACTATAAGGGTGCCAGGGATCAAACTTGGGTTGGTCACATGCAAGGCAAGCGTCCTACCTGCTGTACTATTGCTCCAGCTCCTCCAGAAAGTTCTATTCATCTGAAATTAAAATTCTATATGGGTAAATAATACACTTCCCTTTGTACCTTCCCCCCCATGCCATTGAAATACCATCATTCTAAATTTCTGTCTCTATGAGTTTGACTAGTACCTCATAATGAAATCATCTCTACTCTCCCCTTTCATATCTGGCGGGTAGGGCGTTTGCCTTGCACGCAGCCAACCCGGCCGACCTGGGTTCGATTCTTCCACCCCTCTCAGAGAGCCTGGCAAACTACCGAGGTTATCTCGCCCACAGGCAAAGCCTGGCAAGCTACCCCTGATGTATTCGATATGCCAAACACAGTAACAAAAAGTCTCACAATGGAGATATTACTGGGCCCACGGAGCAAATCCATGAACAGGAGGACAGTGCTACAGTGCTACAAAGTCTTCGAGGTTTATATATGTTGTTGTGTCTTTCAGAATGTCATTCCATTTTAAAGCTGAGGGGTTTCAGGGGCAGTTCAAAAGAATGGAGCATATGCTTTACATACAAGAGACCTGGGTTCAATCCCTGGTGTTGAATCTCCAAACACTGTGTTAGAGCAACTCAGGGTATGACTCCTAAAAGCAAAGCAAAAGAATAACAAAAAAATCACACCCTCACTCCCCCAAATTATAAAGCTAAATAGTAAACTATTGTTTGTGCATCTACAAGCTACTCTTTATTTTCTTCAGCTCAAAAGATTAAACCCAGAGCCTCACATGAGTGAGGTATGCTCTGCTGATAAGGTGCATCCCTGGATCTGTAGATAATACCATTTGTCAATGCTTTTACTGGGATGCATTTACTGTCAGTGGAATTTGAATTTGTTACCTGTTGTACAAAAATATGCTTAAGTCCCAGATTTCAATTCTTTTGAGTATATATATTTGCTGCGTCACAGAGAAATTCTGTGTTTACTTTTCTGTGAAACAGCTATACTATTCTACAGTGGTTGCACATATTACATTCCTACCATGAGGGTGCTTGCAGGGTCCATTTTCTCCACATTTCCCTGGTTTTATTTGATTTTATTTATCTTTAGTTAATAGCTACTCTAATGAGTATGAAGTAGCATCTTATTGTGGTTTTTATTTGCTTTATCCAATTATTCATAACGTTGAGAATTTTTTCACATGTCTATTTTTGATATTTGTATGTATTCTTTGGGGAAAATATCCATACATGTTCTTTGCATGTTGTAAATTGAGCTATTGGTATAATTTTTAATTGCAGGAGTTCTACTATATATTGTGGGTATTAATTTCTTTCCTTCGCCCCTCTTGGAGAGCCCAGCAAGTTACTGAGAGTATCTCACCTGCACGGTAAAGCCTGGCAAGGTACCCGTGACGAATTTGATGTGCCAAACACAGTAACAGTTGTCACAATGGAGACATTACTGGGCCCACTTGAGCAAATCGATGAACAATGGGAGGACAGTGACAGTGATTAATTTCTTACAAAATATGTTGCATACTTTCCTTTAATTCTGTGGGTTGCCTTTTTTAAATTAAAAATATCCTTTGATAATGGGAGTCGATAAGTACCAGGAGGTCTGCTCCACGGCTTGGAAGCCAGCAGCAGATGCTGGGGAAAAAGGCAGCTCAGATAGAGAAAAGAACACCAAGTAAAGGACGTTTGGAGGACTCGCTTGGGATGCGAAATGCGTGCTGAAAGTAGACTATAGTCTGAACATGATGGCTATTCAATACCTCTATTGCAAACTACAACATCCTAAAGGAAAGAGAGAGCAAAAGGGAATACCCTGTGTGTGGGCGGGGGGGGGGGGGGGGAGGGAGTATGTGGGGGGGCACTGGTGGAGGGATGGGTACTTGATCATTGTATAACTGAAACCCAACCATGAAAGTTTGTAAGTTGACAACTGTACCTCATGGTGTTTCACTAATTTAAAAAAATAAATTAAATATCCTTTGATGGTTGGAGCTGAAACGATAGTACAGTGGGTAAGGCACTTGTCTTGTACACAGCCAATTCATGTCTGATCCCTGGAACCCTGTATGGTCCCCTGATCCTGCCAGGACTGATCCCTGAGTAAAGAGCCAGGAGTAATCCCTGAGTACCACTGGGTATGGCCCTCACCCCACCAAAAAGTAAGTATCCTTTGATGGACTGGACAGAGTGCAGAGGTACTGCAAACATGATTCCCAGCACATATGACCCCTGATCCCACCAGGTATGGCCCCTAAGCACAGAGCCAGGAGTGGTCAC